TTCCCTTATGGCCTGAAACAGAAATGAGCATGCTGCACTCCAAGATTCCTAGGATCAATAACCTTCTATTCAGAAGAAAAAAAAATGGTGATGAGGAGTATTTCTACAATTGCTTTGCAAACCCAGGACACTTCATTATTCAAAGATTCCTCTGAGAAACAGCATTAAAGAGAGCTTACAAGTATTTTTGCTCACTCCAGTTRATTAACAAGTGTTTTAATAGTCTTACTGTGTAAATTCTACATACGCTCCAAGTCACAGGACCACGAGTTAAACAAAAAGGCCACATGTAGGCAACTGGCCAATTTACAACATCTAAAGACAGCAATCCAGCTTTAGCATCTAGCATGCTCTTGGGAGGACAAAGAACTGCACATGCTCATACATTAGCAACACTCAAGCTCAAACTAACTTCAGCAAGACCAGATTTATTAATAGTTTAAACAGCTAGCCTATTTTTCCCCTTTGTTTCTTCAGATCCTTCCATGCTTTAAATATTCAGCCTACCAGTTGCATTCACGGTTCAACTTCCCAATGAGGATGTAGGCCAAAAGATCATCAATGGACTTATTCCAGCAAAAGTGTTGATTTCTTTAGTGTATCAGAATATACACGTGAACATCTCTGCTTCCAGAGGTCTCGATTTAAAGCTGGATACTGCTAGTTTGTTCAGACATAGCTGACCAAACATAGACATTGAAAACTAAATATTTTTTAAAATGTTGACAGCTTTAGAGATGGATGGGGAAAACTGAATGGGACTGAGAAGGCCATAAGTGTGCTTGTGTCACTTGCCGAATATTTTGGTAAATCAGACCCAATTTAACTACAGTCTTCTATTAAGCATTCATTTTTTTTCAATACAATTTCCTTAAATAACCTCCTAAAGATATGCTCTAATGCATTAACAACTAAGAGATGCAACCAAGAAARCAAGGACTTAGAGGTAAAAGACATCCCCACACTACAAAGTCCAAGATACAATAGACAAAAGAATCCTTCTAGTACACAAGAGAGAGCAGACACTACACATTTGTACTTTGTTCACTATTTCACTAAAGAAATAATAGTACCTGTGCAATATATGAATAAAGAAATAATAGTACCTGTGCAATATATGGATAGCTTATTTCAGAAGGTTATTTTTGATTTTTTTCTCTGAATTTTAATAATTTTCTGAGGAGCTTGAAGTCAATACTCCAAATTAGAAACTATAAACTACATTAGTTATCTGCAAATCCCAYCGTAAGAGTAATGAGTTGCAACTGAGTGGTTGCAAGCTCATGATATGCTTTTATTAGGAGGAGGTAACACTCACATTGAAAAAAAATCTACAGATGGAAGGCCAAATATGGGGAGAGGAAATAAAGTGTCACCATAGAAATACATTTAGATGTTCATTATAACTTTGATTAAAAAGGGACGGTGGTGGGGGGAGGGGAGTGCTGAGTTTGCCACAGTGTCATCACTACTGACTAGACTATGCAGACTATGAAGTATTTCACACCCTCCACACCTGCCTGGAGCAGTCCAGAACACTAAGTCGCGAGTTGGCRCTCAGGATTTTGTGTCTAGCAGGCTGGAGTTTGAATTACTTAAAGGATCTGCAAAGGTCATTAGAAGACCCAGCCCTGTTATCAGACAGGCTTAAACCTACTGTACAGAGGTTTGCATCTAGAAAACAAAAGCTTGTCAACTAAAGGCTGCTTTACTTGTGTAAAGAATCCTACATGCATAAACATTATAAAACAAGGCCCTATGCCCATAACATAATAAACTGTACCTAATTCTAGTTCATTTGGCATTTCATTTTTAATTCTCTAATTTCATACTAATAAAAGCACTAATATGCTAACAATTGGCTATTCTGTACATCTGCTTCCTGCTCATAATAAAGCATTACATATTATTAATTTTGTTACAGCAGCAGATAACTTTATAACATTTTAAACGCATTTCCTAGCTCTGCCTTTGCTGGAGGATTTATAATAGAAGAAATGAAGTGCCATTTTTTAAATACTGTGTACAGGGAGCACTGATCTTTGATCTCTGATCCTGAACTTTATGATGAACACGTAGCTAAACAATTAATGAGAAGCAGCTTCTGGAAAATGTGAGGTAATGCTATCAAAATWTCAATTGTATTAGTTTATTTATATGCCAGCCTTGGAATATATTCCAATGAAGCATGTTATCTGGCTAAATTTGTTGCAGCAACTAGCAAGACTGTTACAGTTAAAGGCTTGTCCATGTTCTACTTGGGTATGTGGAGCTCAGTTTTGCCACTTGCATGAGTAGCAAAACCCCTTGCCCCTTTGTCAGGCAAGTTTTTTTCCATTTTGAATCTCTTCAGGTCTGATGTAGATTTCTCAGTTCTATATGTTATGGTCAAGACTAGTTTATACTCAAGTCAATTCATTTACTACTCTGGAACATAATCCCCTTAACTTTGCTTTTTAACTTAAGGTTACCTTACTGTTCAAGCCAGAACATATCCATAAGGCTGTATGTAGAAAAGGCTTCAGATTCAGAAGCAYCAGATCTGACATCAGGATGCAAAAATTTGTTAACATTAAGCTGTTTCTTTTAAGAAAAGAATCATTTGCTAGGAGTGCATCAAAACTTTGCTGCTCTAACAGTGGTAAGAACAAAGAAGAGAATGTCTTTGCCTGCATTGCAAGCCCCCATCTTCCACTCTGCTTTCCCACAAATAGAAAGCATGTTCTTATCATATCTTTAGACCTGCTATCTCTGCCTCTTTCCTCTTTTTATCTCCCTGAACATACAATAGACGAGTCATTATCTCAAAACCAGACATTCTGTTCTAACTTTAGACCTATACATTCCCAACAGTAAAAGAATTGGTATTTCTGGAATAGTAAAGTTCTTAAGGCACAAGATATTCCCATTCTTCACAAATAGTCCCCAGTACACACAGACAAAACTGATCCTTGCACTTGCAAGTGTAAAACAAAACACAGACATGAGCAGGAAGTTTCAGCTGCACTTTCCCCTTTGTTGCATACTCCTCCTTCAAACTAGTATAAGGATCATATGTTATCACCTTGGGGGAGGGAAGCTTTCTTTAGAAACTTGCTCATTGCCAAAAAGCTGCTAATGGCTACTTGGTGACAAGCCAGACAATACCAGTGCAGCAAAGGAGCACACCGAATAGTGCCTACACAGCCAGRGCCCCTCAGGTCACAGAAAGCGAGTGGAGCTACCCTAAAGCAAGCACATATAGCACAAAGGTTGGGCCCTCAGCACTAGTTTTCTTTACAAAAACCCTCCTTTACTCGACATTAATACCAGCATGAACACATACCTGTGCCTCTCACTGGTGCAGGACCAGACARACGCTTGCGTTACACCTCACATGGCCCTGTATTTAGCACCATGCTCTCCTRGTCTTTCTCCACAAAAGGAATGAGATAAATACTTTCTCCCTAGTAATCTCAGACCACACTAACCTGAAAAYCAAAAGCAAACCTTCCTTGCACTCCACTCCTTTTCCAGATGGAGTCTTTAAAACTTTTCCCAACAAGTCCCTGGCCAAGTCCAGACACCTGCTGCAGCAGCTGCCTGCAATCAGCTACAAGGTGCAAGGGGCAGGTGGTCTCCATTAGCCCCTTGTGGTCTTGTGCCATGAAGAGCTCCTGTGGCGTGGTGGGGGTTGTGGATATGGAACAGCTGGGGGCGGGCGGGCCTGATGTGGGGGTTTTCACAAAGTACCTTTGCCCACAAATGAACTTTTCTGTGAACATGAGAAATTGCCCACCAGTTGACTTTTTAAAGCAATAGCAGGAATTTCTTCTAACAGTAAGTTCAAGATACAGGAGCAATTTCCTTTGCAGCAGTCAGGAGCATAAGGGAAGTAAGATACCTCARGCAGATTGTCTAGGCAATTCAGCGTTGTTCTGGAAACCCTCTAGCAAGCACGTAGCCTAAAAAGAGATACCAGATTAACACTAGAACTGTTGTCAGTTTTATGTACTACTATTTAGATACTTCACTACTCCTAAATATTCAAAAAACTTAAGTTCCTTATGAGCAGAACAYGTGCAACTGAGCAAAAAGGTCAATTTGGCTGCAATGCTCATATACCATTGCACAGTTATTGCCTTAAAACTTTGGAATTTAGAACAAATACTTCAATTGACCTATCATTAAAAATGTTGTAATTAGAAGAAGCAGAAGACATACTAACCAGTGCCTAACAGGTGACTCGCGTAAAGAAAAGAAGAGTCCTAACTGTAGCGGGGCAGGAGAGCAATAGAGGCAGCACCAGGGAAAATGGATTGAAGTGCTGGAATGTTCCCCAGGAGCAGCTGGTATCCAGACAGGTTCAGCACGAATGCTACAGGCTCAGCACGACTGTGCAGTATCAGAATTGCCAGCAGTAAAAAAGTAATAAAACAAAACCAAATACAAAGACTACGTATTTTCCTAGTAGTAAGATCACATTCAGAAACTGCAGGGGAAAGAATATTTTTTCTCCCACAGTAAACTTCAGCCCAAAGAAGACAGSAGACACATGTTACTTATAAAGCCCAGGCTGCAGCATAATACAACACAAACAGCTGTTTTATGTCCATTTGTGTCTTGCTTTAAGGTCCTGAAAAACAGATTTTTTTTTTTTCACTTTGTCACCATATTATTTCTATGCTAACACAGGCAGCTTTTTTTTCCCAGTGTAGTGGTCAAAGGCTTTCTACCAAAACTTTGAGAGAAAACTGCCCATTAAACAATTATTTTATCAAGAAGATCTTGCTTTCAGTGATTTTTTTTTCAGCAACCTGAATATTTTGACTTACACGAGTAAAAGTTTTTTTTGCTTTTATGGGGTTTCTGTGAAAAGAAATAAACAAAACCAGAACAAAACGAAGCTTGCTTGGAAAGTCAATCTGCATATTGCTGAGTGTGACCGGTGGTAGCACAAAGACTAGAGCAATACAAATGATAATGATTTATTTCTGCACTCCAAGAAGCCTGTGCCTTACCTGGTTATCATTAGTTGCCACTTTTCCCTCCAATTCCATGCTCATTTTGTCTTTGTCAGTGCTATCTCCTCTTTTTGCCCCCCTCTTTGATAGCGCTGCGCTGATATTACATGGTCTGTGTTCAAACTGCGGCCACACAGGTACATCTGAGGGAGGCTGGAGAAAAAGCCAACATGCAGTCAGGAGAACCATTAATAGCTGCAGGATATACCGTGTGTTCTTGTGATGGCAAAATCCTTTCAGAGGTTTGATTTATATGAATAATTCCAGATATATAACACTGATAGAAGGTYTGCCTGTACGTGCATATGTACTGCAATGCTGCCAGAGAAGGAGTTGTGGTGCTTTACAGCAGTTCCTTTCAAGCACGACTAGTTACACAGGTCTCAGTTTTTCTACAAAGCTCTAAATATCTCACAAATTGTCAGCTTTTGGTCATTTGCATGGCAGCACAGCAGCCCTTGCCAAGCAGAACAGGTTATGGTGGAGCAACGTAGGAGGAGCTTCCTTGTGCAACTGCACCAGCGCGCCCCGACTACAGCTTCAGGCTCAAGAACGTGAAAGAGAAATGCAATGTCCGTGTCTGTCTTCTTCCAAGGCTGCCAAGGAGGCTGACAAAACATTGACAGCAGAAGTGGTTGAACTGGCTAGCAAGTCATATAGACCTACTACCATTGTACAACAAAAAATCCTTTTGCATTTTTTTTTTTTTTGTGATAAAAAAGTTATGGAATGGGTAACAGTTGTTCTCCTGAGACAGTTATAATCGTAAGCTATGGCAGAACTGACCCCAAGCTCTCAGACACTTAATAAACAGAAACAAGAGTTCCTTTCACATCCTAGGTTTCACATTACGTGGTTTCAGAGTACACATGTTGTATAATGACTGTTTACACATTTTAAAAAGGACTAACTCTAACTCGTTCCTGGCATCCATATCAAATACATTCAGGCCTAAAATACTTTGTGAAGTTTCAATGGCATACCCTCCTATTTCAAAAARAGTAACAAAAATTCAACCCAAATTCTAGCTCACATATGAAGCAAAACATTCTAAATCCTGTCTAAACCATCCATTCTTCTCAAAGCACAAGGATGTTTATGCTCTTGCCTAAGGGAAGATAAACAGAGCAGCATACCACTCCATATTTGTAAATGTTAAGTCCTCTTCAAGGTAGTAACTGGCTTCTGTATGCACCAGGCCTCTGTTTCTTCATTGCTCAGAAAGCTGTAATACGGCATATGGTTATTCACAAATTGAAACAACAAAGATAAATGGCCCCATACAGAAAAACATTTTCCATCTTATTCTTTATTATTCTACATATTATTCATACTCCAAAATACTTTCCAAAACTGTCTGCAGAAATACCTCCTTGGTGTGGTTCAGTGGCCCCACAGAATGGGGGAATAATTCCCCAAGTCAGTGAGACTACTGCACCTTCAGTCCGCCATATATCAGAAGTATATCTCAACTSATATCTCAACTCTGCTGGAGACAGTGGCAACTGTCACTGCTGCTGTGAAAGTGGCAGAACTGTACTATTTATATAATAGATTTACCTAAAATGTGATGAAGATTAGTAAGGATTAGGTACTACCTATACCAACTGAATATAAGGCCAAAGAACTCCAACAGGTAGAAGATTCTGAGTGAGGAACCCAAGGACAACTCTTTTATGTATATGTGCAGTTCTAAAGTAGACTCCTGCAAGCATACTGGTTAATATAACATGCTGTTTGCCAAATATGTACTTTAAAAATAGTAGTCAACTGTATGGAATACCTTGAGTGGTGTTAAAACTGCCTAGAGGTTGTTATACAATGACTATGGTAAGTCACAACACGCTTTCAGTGAAAAAGCTCTAAAACTGGAAAAATAAAGCCACATAGTTTCTTCAATGAGTACTTTAAGTGGGGCCTATTCAGATGTTTACAGTTTGGCACTTAGCTCTACAGTTGGGCATCAAAGGAAAAATGTCCAGTACATCAGAAGTCTGTTTATTTACAGCTCTAACAGCATGCAGGTATAACATTGTGTCCAGAGAAGAATGACTTTATACATTCTTCTTTTAAAATCTTGGCCTAGATTACAACTTTGGGAACCTGTGGGAAAAACAACCATTTTTTTTTTTTTTTTGATGTTCTGCTAAACTTTGATCAAGGGAATGCTATCCCAAACTTCCATGCCTCCCTTTCCCAAAAACATTTCCAGTCTGTATGAAACCTAGCTTACAAGCTCAGTATYGCAGATTTTTTTTATTTGTTACTACTGATCAGAACATTATTCTCAATATTTTTTTGTTTTGCTTCAAGTCACTACGATTTGGAAAAAAATAATATTGACCATATTTGCCATTGTTTTCAAATCAATGCTAACTGTGCAATTTTTAATTTGTTTTTGACTCGCTGTAGGTTCGAAACAAGAGCAAGGCTGCTAAGGCCGGGCTACGTGAGGGGGATGAGGTGGTGTCTATCAATGGCAAACCCTGCGGAGACTTAACCTACGCTGAAGTTATTGTTCTAATGGAAAGCTTGACTGATGTCCTGCAGATGCTTATCAAGAGGTACAGGAGTGTTAAAAATTAGTGTAATTCAGTGAACTGTGTAGAAAATGTGGATGTTGAACGCACTTATTTACAGACCTATACTGTGAGCTTTTCACTGAAAGTTCACTTGTTTAAGTCTGTAAGATCAGCAGCCTTCTTCCATGTAAGAAAAAGGGAGAGAAATCAGAGTATTTGCTATAAAGGAATTAATTCCTAATTCAAATTGTACAGTTCATGCAGAGTATTAAGGCTACAGTCTCCAAATATAACAATTTTATTTATTATTAAGTATCCAAGATACTTACAAGGTATTGACTAGCATGATATCTGAGTACTGCAGTCTTGAGTTTAATTATTCCTTCCAACCTTTTAAAGTAATGAAGTGTTGTTATTCTCTGTAGATAGGAAAGTGAGGCTTACAAAAAGCATAGACTGTATAGATGGAGAAAGTGTTGCACAGATATGTCCTGATGATGACACGGCAAATGGTCGTCTTGGGTGGCAGAATGTGTTAGTAGTCAGAAGTGAGAGTGGGTCTGGAAACCACGAATTCTATTTCTGTATCTGTTATCGCTTTGCTAGATGAGGTGGGGCAAGCCACTTACAGCTCTCTGAGTCTCAGCCTCTTCATTTATAACATAGTGACAGTGAGTATATTTTCCCTTAAAAATGCTTCCTATTTCTTACAGCAGAGAACCTTTATGTAAATTTAAGACCAAGTCAGCACTCCTGTTCATTGCATGCATCAGTCYACTCTAAAGACTGATGCATGATCTACAGATCAGTGTAATGCATGCTATCTGGGAGTTTATAATCATTAATAATTAAGTGGGGCAAAAATCAGAATAGTTTTCCGAAAGCACATTCTCTCCAAACTTTGTGATTCAAACAAGATGAACTCTGAATTTCCTGGACAGTGGGTGAGAAAAGGAAGAAAAGACCAGAGACTTTCTCATTCTGTAGAAGGAATTACAGCTCCCTCCTGAGCTRCTGCAGGTCCCTATGTTTGCTCTCTCAGAGACAGCAGTTGCAGGCAGAAGGGGTCAGGACTCATCCCTCCTCCTAACAGTTAACAAGGCAGTGTCAGTGGAAAGGCTCTGGAAGGACTCTGGTGCAAAAAAAAAAGGCATTCGTCTGCACTTACCAGGGACTTTGGAAAGAGCAAGTGAAATTGCTCTGTGTTCTGCAACTCATGCGCAGGAACTGATGTGTCCRGTAGTTGGAAGATGTTACTTGCTTTCAAGACAAGAGGCTCCAAAGGAATATCCATTTTATTTAAAATCTACATGATCTGCATGCCTTGTATGTGCATGTGGTCTTGAGCTGAGCAATTGACTAACGTAATGATATCAAGGGAATGGTGATGGCTGAGGCTTACAGCTTGCCTTTTGCACTACAGTTTTAGCAGGGTATTATTTGAGTGTTCCTTATGTGGTATCTGCAGTCTTATATGTTTCTTGACATGACTATGACAACTGCACTTTTAAAAATGATTTTGTGGCTGACTGGCCACATTCTTTGCAGCCATACACATAACTTTGTTTTCACTACTGCCTGCTGCAGCTTCTTAACTGATGTTTCAGTTGGACTGAAGGCCACGTTATGCTCTGGCTGCAAGCGACAGCATATTTTATATTGACTCCATTGCCCCTACTTGAATGCATGGTAAACAGCAAGACATGTCCTGAAAATCAAACTAAATCAGAATGCTTAGACCTCATAATGGTGTTTTATGGAATGAAACCCTGGGTCTGTTAAAATTTTTTAAAAATTATGGTTGCATAACAACTGGCTTATTTTGAAAGGAATTAAAATGTTCCACAGGAATTTACCAGGAGCGTCTATAAAATTCTCATCAGCTATCCTTCCCCATCATCCTGTCCCTTCCTCTGTTATTAGTATCTTCCAGGGTAGATAAACTGAAACACTTCCTCCCCTGCCACCTTCTTTCTGGCACCCTTCCTAGGTTTGTTCATGGATAAGGACCCTCTCAGAACTACCACTGGAAGGATTTCTCAGGAAGTGACTTCTCCTTTGAAAGTAATGAGTAGCAAACGACCCCTTTCTTTTACAAAAAGTTTCTCTGATCCCCTGTAAAACTCAGTCAGTTGCTGACTAGAAGCTGCCAAAAAATCTTTGGTTTGCAGGATCAGATGAAGAAGATACCTCACAGCACAACTGCTCTCCAGATACCACTTCAGGGGGGCATCTTACTGACCTTCCTAACAAATTGTGTATCCAGGAAACACTGAGAGTGCGGACAGAAATGCTAGCCTGCCCTTTGCACGTCAGTGTAGGAGCTCCTGGGACACTCCTAGGACAACAACAACAACGAAAAAAAAGATCTAAGGGAAAGAAGGGAGTGTGCTGAATGCATACCAAAATGAAATGCACCATGTAGGGAGTAAAACATGACTCTGAGACAGACAAACCCCTTTGTGCTGAGTTCATGAGTTCTTCTTCCTTCCTGGAATTACACCAGAGCTATTGTTCCTGCAGCGAGCTGGAAAGACCTGAAATAAAAATCATAATTTGACAAAACAGAATCATAAGTGACAAAATAAGAGATCAGACCCAGTACTCTGCTTCTTGACTCATGGATACTCATTTATGTCTATATAGAGTAGAAGTATATCCATAAGTATCAAGGGCCTTTTAAGGTGGAAATCTTTCCCTCTCACACATACACACAATCACTCAGCTACCAATAAAGGCTAACATTCAGCTGGCCCTGCCCCTAGTCTCATATCCTACAAGGAAATGTTTATGGATTCCTGTAATTTATCTCTACTTAGAAGCAGTACAACTGATCATTCAAATAGCATAATATGATGGAATCCAGCAGCACTCACAAAGACCTCCCTAAATTAAAATCTGTCTGACCTTTACATAGCCCCATATGTGTTTTAATGGATGTTATACATTCTATGCTATTTGAGGCAGATCCAGGCTGCTACAATCAGTATGCCGCATGGCTAGAAATGCAAGTGTTGTTGAAGCTTCTTCAGTACACTAACAGATTTATTTTCTCTATTGCTTTTKCCAGATGTTCTTTTGTAAGGAGTTTCAAAGTTTGGAGTACTTGGGACCTGCTTTTGATTTCAGAATTCCCTATAAATGTAGTTTTTGGAGGGCATCTACTGTTTCCTTGAACTGAAAAAAAATGTTTTGCTCCTTTCTGGTCAATAGAAAGCTTTAATAACATGTTGCTGTCTTGATGCTAAGGAAGGGTTTCTCCTAGAATTAACAGTTGTCGCTTTTGCTCATAGTAATGAAAGGGGAAGCTAGAGGGTATATTTGGAGTCATAGCAGTAATAAAACAGCCTAATTAATTGGGCTAGGGGAATTAATAGCTCAAAAAAGGGAAAGAGATTTAGCAGGCTTCAGGTAGTCATAGTTACATTCACCAGTTAGATTTTTTTTTTTTAAACAAACTAGGAAATAGCATATAGCTTCATTCACTACTCTTTTTCACTGGTTCACAGGAATAGACCCAGTTTTTTAAAATTTAAAGATATATAAGGATTCTCACAAAGGAATTCTCTGAATGTGTAGTTTAAGTATTTATTTACCTCTTCCTTATCTCTATTTGGTAATTTCCTATCCCTGAGGGATGTGTAATGTGTGATGATGGTATGTAAAATGGTTGCAGTAGACACAGAGCCAAAAACACATGCCTATTCTGATGTCATATGAAGTTGATTTTCACATGCACATGTGAAATATGAAGAAGCATTATCCTAGGAATCTCAGCAGTATTCGTCTGGCAGCACTAAAGCAGAAATGTGTCTGTGAAGCCATACTGACATTTGCAATGATGTAAGTTGAGACTGCAGAAAGATGGTAGTGGAATATAGTAAATGTTCTACAGCAGTTTCTCTCTTACTGCACTATTAATTTAAAGGATTGTGGAGGATACAAAGATGTTTTAATATAAGACTTCTAGGTAATGGGACTTCTGCTACTTAAATGGACCTGCTAGTAGACACCGTGAATAATTTTAGGGGGAAAAATATACAGAAATCACTCTTGTAATTGTACTTACAATTGCTGTACTTACAGCAGCTTACTTTCTTGAATTACTTGTTTATGTATGTGCAGATCCTCCAGTGGAATAAATGAAGCCTTGAGCGCTGAAAGAGAAAATGGAAAGCACGATAACATAAAAACTGAGGACTATAGGGAGAGTGCCACACTGCAAATTAACACAGTCAAAGAAACACCCCACACAGAATTCTGCATCACAGAGATATACAGTGAGACTCACCAAGGAGCAGAGAAAAGCAACATAAAATTTTCTGAAATGAAACAAGAGACCACACAGAGCCACAAAATTACTCCTAAAGTGACAGGAACCTCCAAAGTGCTGGTGACAGATGAGGCTGCTTTCAGAGGGAAGATAGAAGAAAGAAGGCCAGGCACTATGGTTGAGCTGCAGTTGTCCCTCTCACATGACAGGCACAAGGGCACCAATGCTCCTGCTATGACTCTCTTAGGGGCAGAAAAATGCTTCCCTTCAGAAACAGGACCCAGTGTAAAACAGGATGGGACTAGCCCTGTAATTGCAATTCCCCTGGGTGTGAAAGAGGGCAACATCCAGTGGTCAAGCAAAGTAGTCCAGGTTTCTAGTGGCAAAGAGATCAAGACGATCCAAGGTGCAGCTCCATCTCTCCCCAGGGTGGAGGTGATCCTAGACTGTTCAGACAGGCAGAAGGAAGCATCCAGGTCTCTAGCAGAAAGGGGGTGTGTTGATTCTCAAGTGGAAGGAGGGCAGTCAGAAGCACCTCCTTCCCTCCTCTCCCTTGCAATCTCATCAGAAGGCACAGAGCAGGGAGAAGACGACCAGAACTCGGAAAGGGATCACAGCAGACCTCTCAAGCACAGAGCAAGGCACGCAAGTAAGTATGTTCCATCTAAATCATTTGCCCTGCCTGAGGGTACCTTTTGTAACTTGAAACATCATTGCAGAATGTAGAGTGCATTAGAAAAAGACTTTAAAGAGTTCTTTCTGCAGTTTTCTAATTTTCCCTCCTCTCTCTCTCTCTCTCTCTCTCCAAAGATGATTCTATTTTTGCTTCCTGTATTTTTTTGGAGTAATATAATGCTCCTGGTGACAGGCCAAGAGTATAGCCATGCTTTAACAGTGCTGAATAACTTTGCTTAGTAGACTTCCACTTTGAAATGTTAACTCATTATTTTGTCCACTGAAAATTACTTACATCTCTTAAAAAGGCTGAATTCTGCCAGTCATTCAATGTTTATTGAGAGGTAATTTGTAGAATATTAACAAAAAAGGCAAGTTACCTGCACATGTCTGAGTGAATCCTGTCTTTCTCCTTTTATAGGAAAATCTTTGTGTTTTCATTTGCATCTTCAAAATCAGGCTACTTCTCTTAATAAGTGATAATAAAAAAGACTAGTAGAAATGCTGAATGTTGCCTGCAAGAGAGACTTTGACAGACACTAGCATGTGTATAACTGTTATATGATCCTTTCAGTTCTGTCTTCTCTAGACTGTAAAGTGAACTTACTATTTCTTCTGACTCCCTTATCCAGAGGTCAGCCTCAAAATCTATCCAAGAAGTTTATATGAAAGTAAACTGAAAAGGCAACTGAATACAGTATTACTTGAGTGTACATATCAAGAAATTATATATTTTGTTTATTTATTATCTTATTCAGTTGGGATCTTTCTATTGGTTGTTCTTTCCCAACAATGTTAAGAATCCTGTACAGGGATTTAGTAGCAGTATGGCAAAGGTACTTGAAYGTGTGCAATGATATACTGTAGCAGTAAACTATTTCATATGCAGTGTTGGAATTACGCTGCTAACCCATTGCTAATTCCTCTGTAAGCATATTTTTAGCATGAAAACCATTTGTACCTTATTGGCAAGTGGATTAAGCAGTTACTTTAGCTTAAGTGTCTGTACGTAATCCACATATTTATGGCATATTAAATGGAGCGAAGAAGAGTGCACATGCCTTACATTTTGGCTGTGAAGTTAGAGGCAACTGTGGGACTGTGGCTGCCTTTCTTAGTGAATTACTTGYGTTGCCTGTCTAAAAAGACAACTGTATACAGAATGAGCCTATTACCTGATAAACTTTTCATGTAGAACACTCATTTTACCATTTTTCCATCTCAAATATGACAGTCTCAATCCTTTCTAACTAGTGGCAAGTCATTATCCATTGGGATCACGGATATAAACTTTAAAACATTTGCTTTTTTATGGAAGTGTTTGTAAAATTGCAGCTACACATTAGAAATATACCAAGCATAAGGGAATAGTTTGCATGCAGCAAATAATACATATTTATTCTAAAATTAAACATTAAAATGTGATACTTAAGTCTAAAATAGCCTATACAAATGAGTTTAAAAAATACACTAGCAAAGTGAAAAGTTTCAATTTTTCCTTTCCACAGAAAAGCTCAAAATCTTTTCTAGGAAAAAAAAAAATCACTGCTGACACAAGTATCTTGTTGGAAAGCATGGAACTTGTGTGATAAGGGGAGATCATTTCTGTTTGCACAGTCACTCTAATGCTAAAGGCAGTTCCTTGGGAAAATGTCTCCAGTGATTCCTGCAAGCATTTGGCCTGTCAAACAACATGATTTGGCCCTTCTGAAATAAAATATTATAAATTGCTGGTACAGGCACCACGTTCTTTTCTATTTTATAGGTTCTTCAGAGAGCCACTGGTCCAGCCATGCTGTCATCTGGCATAATGGCAAAACTCCAATTGTCTTTAATAGGAGAAGTATCAGGCTCCATCTTCTGACATGGCTAACGGGATCATTAATAGAAAATATATCACATGGCTTTCTTTAATAAGCTTGTTTTACTTATGCCAGCAGAAGAAACTGATAGTAACCACTTTACTTGTTTATTTTGATATATCAGAAGTTTTTTTTCCTTTTGAAATTAATTGGAAGCAGAGGAACTTAATTAATTGGAAGCAGAAAACTTGGGCAGACACAGCTTTAAATTTCAGGGTTTTTTTAAACAGAGAATCTAGCAGGGCTGTCATTTGTGAGTGGCAGTGGTGGAAGCAGCAGCTGATTAGCATTGCCCATGAGGCACATGCTCCACGTCTCATAGCAGGGCAGCAGTGGTGCTGATGCATAGTCAGTTTAGCAGCTTTGCAGCTGCAGCTACGCCTGCATCCTGTCACATGACTTTATGAGAACCAATAATTTATGCTTTGAAAAATATATATTATTCATGTATGCTAGTGAATACTCTTGAGGAGTTAGCAGAGCCTCCTCTATTAGGTTCTTAAACATGTATTCATTCCTGACACATATTTTACATATTCTGGAGATGTTATATCCTATACAATTCTGGAATATGTTTCAAGAAAGAGACGTCTGTTAGAGGACTGCAATCTGTTTTCATTGAGCACCACAGCCAAATTCTCACTGCCTTCCAGAGGTCTGTCTTTGTGCTAATAGTTTCTCTRTATGATTTTGTGGATGTATGCTTCCTTCTATGTAGCTAATACCTATAACTGTACATATTTTTATCATCTATACCCATTTTTGATATTGCATACRAATAAAATAAATACATGAAAATAAATGACAGAACCTACTGCCATTTCCATACAGCATACACCCAGTTTCACTGCTCTGAGATGTTAAGCATTCATGGGCCTTGTTGGCTGGGAATCTCTGCCATAGGAGCTGCGGTCAAACACTTGCTAAATGCCATAGCACAGAAATGAAATAAATGAGAAAATATCATCCAGCTGTTGCTGCTGAGATGACTAATGGGAATAGAAATCCAGAAGGCTAGAAATAGTTAGACTGACACACGTAACACGCCTGTGGAACTAAGAAGTCCTAAAGAAAGCAATGTGGCATACAAACTTCTATGGGTGTGATTCTAAAGGAGGAATGTTGGGTATGGAATTCATACCACAGCTGTCAGTGTGGGAAAAACTGAAGTATAGTGATCTCTACATTCACGGGAAGATAAATATCTTAATATGTGGGAAGGGCACAGTGGGTAAATTTCACCAGAGACAGATGCAGARCCACTTGTTTGAATGCTCCTGGTATTTCTGTGGGCCACATTCTATTAAATGTACACTTTGATTCTTTCCACAGGACTCCGGCGAAGTGAGAGCCTGTCTGAAAAGCAGGTCAAAGAAGCTAAATCCAAATGTAAAAGTATTGCATTGCTGCTGACGGCAGCTCCCAACCCCAATTCCAAGGGGGTGTTGATGTTCAAGAAGCGTCGCCAAAGAGCGAGGAAATACACTCTGGTCAGCTACGGCACTGGGGAGCTCGAACGTTACGAAGACGAAGGTGAAGAAGGGGAAGGTGAAGAGGGTGACAAAGAAAACACTTTTGAAGTGAGTTTGCTTGCAACAAGCGAGTCAGAAATAGATGAAGATTTCTTCTCTGAGATTGACAAAGAAGGCAAGATTGTGACATTTGACTGGGACAGTGGTCTACTTGAAGTTGAAAAGAAGGCAAAAAGTGGAGACGAGATGCAGACGCTTCCAGAGACCACGGGCAAAGGGGCCCTCATGTTTGCCAGGAGGCGGCAGAGGATGGATCAGATTACTGCTGAGCAAGAGGAGATGAAGGCACGCACCGGGCACGCTGAGGAACGCAGCGAAGCCACCATGTCAGAAAGCTTCCAGAAAGTGAGCTGTGCAGCCTATCAGACAAAAGAGGAAGAAATGTCAAGCAGGCAGACCTCTGTGAGCAARAGCTACCTAGATGTGAGCCCGAATCACAGTAAAATGGTACAACAGAATGGCTTTGGGTTGGCGCCAGACTCAGCTTTCTCTTTTCAGAGCTCTGAAGTTCAGAAAGCTGCCTCGCTGAATAAAACAGCTAAGCCCTTCCCTGCCGGGGTCCAGAACCGAGCAGCTGCACCATTTTCACCCACAAGAAATATAGCGAGTCCTCTCTCTGACATACCAGCCCCACCTCCCTACGCCGCTGTCAGCCCCCCTCCTGAGGTCTTATACAGGCCAGTATCTGCTCCCGTAGCCCTCAGGGCTGCGCCAGTCTCGTGGTCCTCCACAGAGCCACCCGAACACATAGCAACCCGCGACGAACGGATCGCAGTGCCAGCCAAGAGAACAGGGATACTGCAAGAGGCAAAGAGAAGAAGCACTACAAAACCAATGTTCACCTTCAAAGAATCACCCAAAGTCAGTCCTAATCCTGCCCTGTTATCCCTTGTACACAATGCAGAAGGTAAACGAGGTACTGGGGCTGGCTTTGAGTCAGGACCCGAGGAAGACTACCTCAGTTTGGGAGCAGAAGCTTGCAATTTCATGCAGACTCAAGCATCTAAACAAAAGACCCCTCCTCCTGTTGCTCCAAAGCCCTCAGTCAAGGTCTCTCCTGCTGCCGATACTCCAATTTCACCAGTCTGGTCACCTCCAGCTGTAGCTTCTATCAAGGCTCCTTCCTTCCCGGCTCCAGTCTCACCTCAGGCAGCATATCCTGCACCACTCAAATCCCCACAGTATCCCCATTCTCCTCCAGCACGTCCCCCAAGTACTCTTAACCTAGCCGGTCCTTTTAAAGGGCCTCAGGCAACCATAGCAAGTCCAAGCAACACACCTAAGGCAACACCAACCACACCAAGTGCTGGAGGAAAGAAGCCGACCTTTGAGATACCGCCAGCTATGAGTGGAAAAGGAGCACAGTTATTTGCCAGAAGGCAGTCTCGAATGGAGAAGTACGTCGTAGATTCAGAGACTGTGCAAGCAAACATAGCACGAGCCCCATCCCCGACTCCATCTTTACCAGCTTCTTGGAAATACTCATCTAACGTTCGAGCACCGCCGCCTGTTGCTTACAACCCCATTCTCTGCCCATCTTATCCTCCTGCTGCTACCAAGCCTTCCTCTCAATCTGCTGCTGCTACCAAAAATACTAAAAGAAAACCTAAGAAGGTTCTCAATGCTTTGGATGTTATGAAGCATCAGCCTTACCAACTTGATGCATCTTTATTTACTTTTCAACCTCCATCCAGTACTAAGGAAAGCCTAGGGATTAAGCAGGCATCAAAGCTGTCTGCTTCAAAACAAGGTCTACCATTAAGACCACTCAGTGCTGGCTCTCCTACTAATGTCCGGGCATCTTCAGTCTACTCCGTACCAGCCTATGGTTCACAACCTTCGTTCCAGTCGAACGCCTCTACCCCAGTAAATGAATCATTTTCACCTACAGGTTACTCTGCATTTTCTAGGCCAGAAACCATCACATCCTCTTTGTTTACTGCTCCGAGGCCAAAATTTTCTGCAAAGAAAGTTGGCGTCACTGCACAGGTGTGGAAGCCATCGATTATTGAAGAGTAAACCTTGCAGCTGCAACTCCGTGTCCACTTTGCTTGCAATTAATTTTTTGCAGTGGTAACCTGGCACACCAAGAGTGCCAATAGTAGTCCTTTGCTTACTTAATAACTTCAGATTATCACCTAAAATCTGGGTCCAAAATACTTAACACTTTTTCAAGAGATGAAAATTGATATAAATTTTAGCACATTTATGCATATTATCACATGCTTTATATATGTAACATCCTGAAATGGATAGGTACAATTGTATTAAGTAAGCAGGACACTTGGCTTTTTTTGCTTTAAGACTACAGCAAAAATGACAGTAAGCAGTATTCTTGGTATGTCAAACTACTAGAAAAGAGGGTTTTTTTTTTCTCCTTCACATCCCAAATTATACTATAAAGACCTAGAGATTTGAGGACAATTCATGTTTTAAAAATGCCTTATTAAATAATATTAATAGTAATATGTTTACTTACATAGCATTGAGTAGATATAATATTAGACTCTGACTGATTGCTAGTGGGATATAGGTGGACAGACCTTTGGGTCTGCACAGCGAGAGTGAGTGAATTCAGTGAGAATCTGTCCAGGCACAAAGGTCATTCTGCAGGAATCTGATCAATCAGTCAGGGGATTAGCTGTAAGTTATGTGGATCAGCTCTGATCCAACATCAGAAATTGCCTCTGTGATTTCACAGAGAACGTGCTATAAGAGATGCTAGAGTGCAGAGAAGAGTAACTTAAAGAAGGTAAAAAAAAAAAAGCACTTGGAAAAGTTGTTAAAGATTTCCCATTTTGGGGAAATTTTTAACTAAATTTGACATCCCGAGTTCATATTTTTAGTCTTGACTTGCCTCAACTCTGGCAAGCTAGTAAACCAAAATTATTGGACGGTCAGAAGGGTGAGTTTTGCAGCTGCAATGAAATGCAATACTTTCTCATGAAATCACAGTGATTAAAAACGGAAGGAATAGATGCATTTGAGACTAGGGATCTTTGCCACAGAGTAGTATGTCCCCCAGAAATCAGCATATAACACGATATCAGAATTATGATCTTGTTTTCCTGTTGGTCTCTCATACACGTTTTCTTATTTTCACTTTGGGCTTTACAGTGCTTCTTCCACTTTTACTCATTTTATTCTGGTCTTATACCTTCACCTTTTGTATTATATTATATTATTTAACCCAATATAATTGTGGTATTGGGGACTAAGGATTGAAATACTGCTACTGTAGAAAATTCTTATGAGTATGTGATCTTGAATCCTACTGATTAATACTGCAAAGCATAGTCTTGCTGAAATCAAGGGGCTATATTTGAATAGCTGAGTATGTTATTCAGTAAGCAGTCCTGTTAACATCACTGGTGCTAGTTCTGAAACAAGGTGTTGTTTCACACAACTGAGAGTATCAGAATCCACCCCAGGTGCTATGCTAAAAGATTAAAGCATCACTGTGAATAAAGGTGGCAGAATCTGCTGATACATTTTTTTTAAAGTACAAGACAACTAGCTATGGACCAGATTATGGATCTTTTATATCATACTGGTGCATATGATTTTAATAGATATCATGAATAAAGTATTCCCCAGTATGAGCAAAATCTCTGTAGTTTAGTCCTGTGATGGTAACTCATAACTGCAATCAAATCTGAAAAAAATACATTTGGTTGTACATGTAAAAAACAGATTGGAATCAAAGCCTAACTAAGTCATTATAAAGCCTAATTAAGCTACTCCTTTGAATTTTGGACCTCTAGAATCCCATTTTTGCCTTTGACTTTTGAAATGGGATCCTGACTGCACTAGAAGAAAATGACCAAGTGATTCATCTTATTCTTAAGTTCAGGAGAATAGTGGAAATTTTAAGGAAAAAAAAAAAAAAAAAAAAAAAAAAGCCTGGAAAGCTCAAGAAAGAATTACACTGCCTATGCCTAGAAATGGGAAAGAGCAATATTTTAATCCTCTGGAGATCTCCCTTCCATTTGTTTTTCACTGTTAACATGCTGTATTTTTCTTCTACCATTAAACTTGTCCCTTTCTTCTCTGTCTTTTTTCTTGGGGGGTAGTTCTGTTTCATTTATATGTACAGACTGATGGTCTGTAAATTTTATGGGAACTCTAGTTTCTATTCAGTCCTATTACTATGAAAACTCCTTCCTTCCTTTCTTGTTCTCCATTAAAAGTCTTACCTTAAAATTGCATACACTATTTTAGGTCCAAATTTAAAATACCAGTATCTACTTGGAGTAAGTTAAACCAAAGATAAAGACAGTGCTGCTACACAGATACAGATAGATACAATCACTTTCAAAAAGCCTCATATTGCCTTAAATGTTTTATTTACAGTCTTCTCCTATAAAGTATATTTGTAAATTATAATCACATATCTAGACTTGTTTGCACCTTCCTGCTCACAAATAATTTTCCTATTGAGTTCTTTCAGTAATTTTGTACTTTTACCACAAATATTGATGTTAATGTATATGACTGTAAGTGAGATAGAGTAATTTACACTGTATGGCCATCAGCTCAATCAGGCTCAGGTCAGTAACTTTTGCTGGTCCTCACTAGCTGCTCAGTGTCCAGTRTGAAATACACAGATTCCTGCAGTTTAGCTGCTAGCATATATAAGCCTACATTGTTTTTGCCAAATAAGAAAATGGGCATTATTATTCTAAATGTCAGCAGAGGGAACAAGGGGTGAAGCTGGGCTTTATTCTCATTCCAAAGGAAATCACCTCTCCAGAAAACTGAAATTCAGTAAGGTAGGACCTAGAGGAGAGCTGTGGATTGAACCTAAACATTTCAGTTTCCTGCATCCTTTAACTAGACTAAATATACTTCAAAGACAGGAATGCTTAACTGTCAATTTAAAGGTCACTAAAGATCCTATTTCTTTAATTTTCAACAAAAAAACAATAGTTTATTTAGTCAACTTTATCATAAGCATATCTACAGCTACAAGAAAGGAAAAAAAAAAAGAAATGAAACCAAGCTGAATATTTATATCTTGCTCATATGTAGATTTCTTGCTGTTGTTCAAACACTGGTATTTAGTGTGGCCTATAGCAATGACAACAGAGTGTTCCAAAAGCCGTACGTGTGCTTTACGTGTATCACTAGTGCTCCTAACTCAGGCAGGATATTTTGAAAATCCCATTCAAAGTCCAAATCTGAATCCAATTTTGTATACATGCCTCCTTCTGCCTGCATAGTATTTGGATCTGACTTGGCTTCAGGACTCACGTTACTAATAAGGTAAGTCAGTAGCTTACCTTATTAGTAAAATACTGCAGGAGAAAACTAGCCTAATTAATAGTTTTATGCAAACAGTAATCTACTTTTGTGAAGCAGGTATTTAGGGGAAAGCTGAACTGTGCATTGTTATGGGTACAAATGAAAAGCTGCAGGTGATGTGAGGCATAGAAGAAATGTCAAGAAAATGAACTCTTTATATTAAGAGCATTTGAAAATGTATTTTGAAAGGGAAATGAACTTTTCTAAACAGTTTTCTCAAAGAACTATTAAAATTACTTTAATATAATATGAAGAGACCATGGAGACACACTGCTTTTGCTTACTATGTGAGCATATTTAACAATGAATTTTTCTCACTTCTAATAACACTACTTCAGTTATGCTTATATTAAAAAGCTATGTGAGTGCTTTATGTTATTTTTAGCACATTTAATTTTAGTATAGTATAGGTATTACATTGCACCAATTTGGATCTCACACTGTAGAAAGCCTTTCCATGAAAATAGCTACCTCAATCAAGGGTTGCATGTTTTCATTTTCTCATTCAGTTAAAAACCTCTCATTAAAAAACTTGAATTGAAATCTTTTGCTTTGAAGATCACTAGCTTTTAGAAAATTAGAAGTTCTGTAGCAAAAATAAGAGTCAAAATTTAGTTCTTAAACAACTTTTCTCCCCTTCTCTAGGGGAACTAGACTCTTACCATGTTCCTGCTCATCAAAAGATAACATACTATGAAACAAACAGATATTTCAATGATTTTTTTCTGCAGCAACATTACCATCTTTTAGAAGTAAGACTCATTCTCTCACTTTTTGCACACCAGGAATCATTTTGTCTGTGTCCTAAGACACCTGACAATATCCAGCTACACTGAGCTGCTGCGTTCCGAAAGCACCAGGCCGGTGGATGGGGACTCTGTAACACCAAGGCTCAAATGAAGAGTACTCACTCTGATACAGCCACAGTCCCCTTACTGTACAGAATGCCTGTTTCAGTGCTAGGCACACAGAAAAGTCATTTTGAGGTCAAGTTAATGTAATTTTGAGATAAGCCAAAAAAATAAGGTTCTCTTTTGTTCTAAATCTTCATGCACTGACAGAAAGTACAGCTATCTTTATTTTAACTAAAGCATTCAGGAATCAAGAATGCAAGATCAGAGCTAAAACTGCTGTGTTCTCTTTTGTTGTCATCATAGCAATCATCCAGCCATGAGTATATTTTCCTTTTGGCAGCGCTGTCATTACGCACTCTAAAATGAATGTTCAGTATTCACTCACAGGAGGATTTGAAACAAGGAAGTACTGATATGTTGCAGTATTGGCAGCCTCCAAAAATTAGGATTGAGGGGCTGATGTATGGTTCAGATAGAAGAGCTAGTGTTAAGTGGCAGAGCAGCGGTTTAGAAAGAGAAAGCTACTCGGATTAGAGGAAGCTAAGCAGTGGGGAGAAAGCTTCAGAACAAAAGCAGAGACAGGATAAAAATCAGGAAACCCYGCAAATACAAGAGAAAACAATCAATAAGATGGGCTTAATTGTTCTGCACAGAGATAGCTGACTGATTTCCAGCCCATTCAATTTTGCTACATTCTCCTTGGACAATCAAGTACTCACATCATGGAGCATGATTATTCTCCTCTACTGTTTAGAAGGTATTGTGAAGCAACTAAAATACTCATAACCAGCAAAAAAAAAAAAAAAAAAGAAAAAAAAAAGATAAGTTCTT